CTCCGAATCAGTCGAGCGGCAATATCTTTTCATCGGTTGCGTAACGCTGTGTGGAAGCTACCTGGTCTGTCGCTCCGCACTAAGCTTCAGGTCTTCTCGGCCACGATCATTCCCTCCCTTCTCTACGCTTGCGAAACGTGGACCCCCCTAATGGAACATCTTCGCCGGTTAGAAACATTTAGGCTGGCCTGCCTACGATCCATCCTGGGTTTAACCAGACTGGATTGTGTGAGGAGCTCACAAATCCTTGAAAGATCTGGGCAGGGTCCCTTCGGTGAGCTCCTCCGGCAGGCAAGGCTGCGATGGCTGGGTCATGTAGCCCGCATGCCCAGCCACCGCATGCCGAAACAGCTTTTGTTTGGCCGGATTGAGGGGGCTAAGCGGGCGCGGCACGGGCTAGAGAAGAGATGGAGTGATGTGGTACAGGAGGACGTGGAGCTGAGTGGACTTGCCGATGACTGGTACCAGCGGTGTCAAGATCGGCCTCTGTGGAGGAGGCTCGTGAAGGATGCTACTGGGCAGTTGGAGGCAGTCGCCCTCCAACAACAACGTAGGGCGGAGGAGCGACGCTCACAACAGCGAGCGGAGCTCCGGGTGGCTAAAGCACAGCAGGTTGGCACAGTAGGGGGCACAGGTGGTGCATCAGCCAGTCATCTCAGTCAGTCGACCCGTGGCACCTGGGTCTGCCCCGTGACCTCCTGCCAGCGGGCGTTCGACACTTCACGTGGCCTCAGGGTGCACATAGCCTGGCACAAGCGTCGTGGTGACGTCACCGCCACTTAGTGGCGAATGGCGGTTGTTGTTGTTGTTGTTGTATGTGGGAAGCGGTAGTGTAGCGGTTAGCGCACTGCATTACGGACCTGGCTTCTCAAATTCGATTCCCGCTCATGGCCAACACCCAGTGACTATTATCTAAACCGGTCTTGGGCCTCCCCTAGGTAGACTCAGCCTCAAACGAGTACTTGGTGCGATGTGTAGTAAACATCGCCACGAGGGAGACAGAGGCGGCTGGACGTGGTGCTGGCCACCCACCCACCCCCTTGTGTGCCGTGCCGGCCTTCAGAGTTGTCCGCTAACAGCACTTGCCCCCAAAGTATGTTGAGGTTATACAGTATGCAGATCTTTGTCTTTGTTTCACGTCACGTTGGGACAGTATTAATTCTATGTGTTTTTTTGTTGGTGTACAATCGCAAATGACAAACAGATACCACTTAGCAAATCATTACATATGTATCTACGACAGATAATCGAGACCCTTTGTGATGCATTTCATCTCATTGTGAGCGCACACACAGTGCATTCATAAAAGTGATGGCAAGAAAAACAAAATAAGAATGTATACCCCATTGTAAAGCCACTGTTGGATAACGCCCCCCCCCCCCTATAGTCGAAGTGGGGGGAGGAGGGGGGGGCAGTGGAGGATGGCAGCCGTCACGCGGCCCATTCTGGAAAGTAACAAAAAATCACGGCGAATGCCATCAACGCGGCGACCCAACATCGATCAATTCTCCAGAGCAACAACGCAAGCCCAGCAGTGGCGGTGGTGGTGGTGGTGGGGAAGGTGCGGATGGTCACCATACTTCACCATACTGTTCAATCAACCTTTAGGTCACAAGGTCCACAGCGCAGTGCACGAGACTCACCGCGGCTCTCTCCGCATAGCCAGCCCGCCAGTACAGACAAACGCAATTGAATAACAACGGCATTTACATGTGATGATTGAAAGTCCACACGGACGGCGCTGTGACATTGGCACCCGTGATAATGACGGTGACACGGTAGGTAATTTCAGCGGTGATGACGACGATTATTATTCTTTTGCCAGGACGACGACGAGTGTGCGATTCGGCGCATATTCCACTTGGTGGCGCTGTGGAAAGACAGCCTTCGGCTTCATTGTGCGTAGTTGCCGTGTGTTTGAACGTCGGTGGTGGGGCGGCGAGAGAGAAATGCCACACACACACACAGACACGCAGGCGAGGAGCCACGGTTTCAAGCCAAACAGTTCAAGCACTGTGTGAGCACTTTTCTTGAGCGTTCAACAAACCGAGAAAATTTATTAAAAGTATCCTTTCTTGAGAAACAGAACACTAACCTTGGCTCAGGACTAGGGGTACTAAGCACCCCCTCCCCCGCCCCCCCCCCCCCCCAAAAAAAAAAACCTCGTGTTGAAAGTGGCCTGAAAGTAATTTTTTAAACATTCTGTAAGGATTCACTGTCTGTTTAAAGTTGTACAAACACACCTGCAAGAAAACGTAGGGTCAAGAGATGCAGCCTATAACTTATTGAAATTTGTTGGACTCTCCTACTTGCAGTGGACGAAGGAAGAATGTTCTGTCACATGCAGGCCCATTGTTACACATGTTTAGGCACAGGTTTATGTGAGACTGGATTTCAGAAATTTTTGGTCGCGGTTCGTAATGTTTCCTATACGTTCAAATTATGCAATTGTCTGTTTTTCAGAGGCCACGGGTGGGTGGATTGGGTGGCAGGCAGGGCTAACCTTCAAACAATTCAGTTCATAATACACTCTCGAGAGATGGGGGCTTATTTTTTTCTAGCATGGAACACAGTCAGAACGTTGAGTAGACGCTTCAATTCGTAACAATGCAAGGCGTCCACTTTCAGTGTGGGAATTACACAGCCAATGACAATCTGCAAAATGCAAGGCCACCAAACATTCTGGTTGGGCCGAGGCAGTCCTCATAGTTTCATAAAGGCAAGCATTGTGAGGATCGGGATGCTATCCCGTGGTTAAATAATTTCTGGCTTCAAGCTTGACTCAGGATTAAGGCAAAACTAAAGGGTGGGGCTGACCTGAGTAGTGGGCGGTGCTAGCAGAGGTGTGGGCGGGACCTATGGGTCGACTAGGCAGGGTAAGTGCCAAGAGGCACTCACGGGGTAGGGTCGGGGATAATGGTTGAGTGGCGGTGTGACTACGTAAAAAGTAAGGCCGGGATGACATAGGGTGGTGGGTTGCTACCAGCTCAACATGAGTCCAAGTTGAAGCCCCACATAAATATTATTCCGTTTTCCAAATTTGCTTATATGAACGATGTGCAACATTTACAATAGTCGCCTCGTACTGTAATGAAACGACGAGTGCCGATTTGTCAATGCGCTGTTGTTGGGTGAAGGGCTCCTCGTGCCGGTGTTCGTCATGGGGGTTGTTTGGCCATAACTTCATCACGGTGGTCACTGAGGGTTGGGGGAAGGGGGGGGGGTCGGAAGCGGTTTAGTGATCACTCGCCACTGATGTTAGCTGTGGGTGGCAATCGAGCTCAGACCACCGGGTCCATGGTGTGGTGTGTGGAAGCCACTCAATCCTTTGCAAGAGAGAACCAACAATTCATAATTCACTTCAACGCTTGCAAAAGCGAAATGTTGTTGGTGGGAAAAGGGGGGTTTCCTTTGGCCTTACTGCTACTATATTTGAACAATATGCACCTTGTGTATTGTATTCACCTCGGGAAGCCTCACTGAGTCCCAATTTAATTTCCAGGAGGGCCCTGCATTGAGATGATTGGTCAATTCTAACAGTGAGTGTCTCGAGTGTACAGGAGTTGGCAGCCTGCGGTTCCGGAGCCGCGTGGGGATCTTTAAGGACTGCTTCATGACGTTATTCACACGCATTGCGGCTCCTGAAATACTGAGTTATTTTGGTTGCCGAGCATGTGGGAAGAGACCACAATATCTGGAGGACACCCATGCTTATACAATGGGATAACACTCAAAGTCCCTTACAGATGAATTCAAGAAACCCATTGCTTTACCATCATATCCTGGCCACCTAACAAGCCAAGCCTGCAACACCCTGGTATTCCCAGAGTATTCCCCCATTCGTGCGCTAGCAAGGCTCATTCCCACTTAGCTGCCAAAAATATGATGAAATCAGGCATTTAAAAGTCATTGGTCCAGAATATAAACTCGACTCGTTTTGGAGTGGTTGGGTGTCACGAGCATGACGCAGCTATTATTTTCCCAACCACACGTCCACGTGATTGTCATATTTGGATGAAATTATAAATGTGAACCGTGCTCTATTGAGCGGTGGGTGGAAATTCCACATTCCCGTGGAGGGGGATCATTTACCCCGTATGATAACCACTGTGTACTTCCCATCAAATGGTGCTCGCCAGGTGGTACGCATTTGAGTCGTGACCCCAGGGGAAATAGTTGTGAGGCGTTGACCCTACCCAGGAGTTGAACCCACGATCTTACAATTGACGGCCCTGCCGTTGTGTTGCACCAGCACATTTGAACTTATCCTGTACTATAACTCAAAAGCAAAAGGCAAGGTAAACATGGGTAATTTATATCAGCTCTGTGTTTAATACACCAAAGAACAACAATTGATAATTTGACCTGTATCTCCACTTAAAATACATATTTTAGTCCATCGGTCTACTGGCATGCTGTAGTTATGTTAACCACCAAGATTTGTCCAAGGGAGAAAATTCTGTGATGGTTTCAACCGTCTGTATCTTTTCAGCATAGTTAAGCATCTTAAAAAACAAATAGCAGACGTTATTGGTAAGAGCACTCACTCTAAAACGAGAGGAGAATCCAATGATAGACTAAAAATGCAACAATATATCACTAACACACAACACAAAAAAAACCGCTCCGTTTATTCCCATTTCCCAAGCAGATGAATATCTAACTGCGTGTAACATCAATTCACTGCAACAACAACAACAACAAAATAAGACATCGCAAACTGATATCTGAAGAACATCACGCGTGCAAAGAATCGCGGGCTGCTGCACTCTAAGCGCGTACAAAGCCGCTGCATGTTAGGACTTGGAGAGAGAGAGAGGGAGAAAAAAAAAGACACGCAGATGTATATAAACAAGCTGACTTTCTGTAGAACAAACCACACGGCATCTTTATCCAGCCCAGACTTTAAATCTTTGACACACACGCACACCCACTCCACTCCTTACACCCTCCCACCATCACCCACCCACCCCTCCCCAAACCAACCCCTTTGGTCCCTTCCACAGCCCAGACACCATCACCCACACGCGGTTTGGAAGCCGGTCTGGGTAGCAGTGGCTGCTGCTGCGGCTGTGGCAGAGACAGTCAGTCACCTCTTGCGGCGTTCGTTGTGCAAACAAAAGTTTATCTGCTCCCCCCCCCCCCTCTTTGCGCACAACTCTCGTACAGCAACAGCAGCAAATGCAAGCAGACCAAAGTCTCAGCGCAAAGTATATATATTATATATACTGTATGTGTAGTGTATACTATACTCTGTAGTGTACTTGGGCGTACGGTACTTGAGCAAAAAAAAAAGCCATACTGTGTATGTGTCAATGCTTCGAACAGTCTAGGATAGATTGCTACTGTTGCTGCTTCTCCTTGCCTACCGTGTGGAATGCAACATCGCGAAGTTGAGCTGCTTAGTTTAACATGATCGTGCTGTCGTCGTCGCAAGCTGACCTCAAACACTGAGTGAGTCCGCACGTTTCAATAACTCCTCTCGCTGGCTCTCGGCACTTTTCAGCTGCTCGGGGGGCATTCACACCTCCTCACCTGTCGAGCGCTGCGGTGTTTGCGCGTACGGGAGTGTTACATGCACACGCTGGATGGTCGCTGGCTTGTCACCATTCACATCATCACGTGTAAGTGAAAGCGCCGCGCGTTGGTTGTTTTAAACGGTGGAATGTTGCCTCGACGCTCTTAAGAATAAATGAGTTCGACGTTTCGGCCGACTGGCCTTCTTCAGGAAATACTGACTTAAAAGAAACGGACAATCCTGGGGGGGGGGGGGGGGGCGGGGGGAGAGGGGGTGGCGCAGTGGTTCGTTCATACAGCGCTATGAACCCAGCGTCCTGAGTTCGATTCCCGACCACGGCTAACATTTCTTGGCGAGCGATACTCGGAACCGGCTTTTGGGCGCACTCCTTCACGACCCAAAACACTTCACCACTGCGGTGAAGCGTGGCCGTGACCGGACACGGAACGAAGCAGTGGATTGACAAAGGGCCGTACATTATATAAACTCCACTGGATGGACTTCATCTAGAACAAAACAAATACACACATTACCTGTCATATCTACCTAAATAAAGATAACATGCTTTTCTCGACTTCTTAGCCGTCTAGGCATATAATGCACATTGCGTATCACCACATATTTAAGCACGCAAACTCTGAACCGGTTATCAGCAGACATGCCTGGTGTGTATATGTGTGTGTACGTATGCTGAACTTCTTTCGCACCGTGCGTAGCCAACCGTGCTAATTTGAGGTGCGGGCATATATAGATTATAACAAACACACGTGTGTACACTCGCTGATGCCGCACGCGTTATTGGCCAGGGCACTCCCTCCAGACGACGGGTCCCCAGCCACAATCATCTCAATGTGCCCGCGGCTACTTGCAGGCAACAACCTGCAAGAGGAGGCGAAGGAGGAAGAGGAGGAGGAAAGGGAGCAGGGAGGAGACAGCAGCAGCAGCAGAAGAAGATCGGCGGTGGCATCCCGGGATGGAGGAGGGCCACTCCCCCCTTAGGGCGCCGGGCGCCACGGCTCCAAGGCCCCAGCAGCACGACCGCCTGCTGCTGCTTCTGTTGCTGCTGCTGTGCGGGGTGGTGCGGCCGAGCGTCGGGACTCGCCACGCATCCTCCTCGCACCCCGGTACCCTGAGCAGCGGCAGCGGCAGCAGCAGCAGCAGCGGCGGCGGCGGTGGCATCAGTGGTAGCAGCGGCGGCGGTGGTGGCGGGGCACCGTTCCGCTACCCCTACGCGTCCGGGTCAGTCGGGACCAGCAAGGGACAGCACCATCTGGCCACGGCTGAGCACCTGCAGGCAGGAGGCCACCACCAGCACCACCAGCACCACCAGCACCAGCAGCACCAGCAGCAGCACCACCACCAGCAGCAGCAGCGATCCCGGTGAGGATTGATGCGATCGGGGCTTCATCTCAGGTGGAGCTGTCCGAGGCTTCGCTCCAGAAAATATTTTCTCCCTCCCCCCCATTCCCCCCACCTGCTATCGGGAAAGATGGGGGTGTCTGGGTGGGGGGGGCTGGAGAGGACTTCATCCAGTAGTGAATTGATCGTGGCAAGCAGATGATCGACAATGACAGTTGCATCATCTACATCTTTAGTGCGACCACAATTTCGAACCGGCGGGATGCGTGCATCGCGGGGGGAAGGGTGTCGCGAATTTGCGAATGCGAGCCCGAGGTGCGATGGGAGAGGCAGGAGAGGAGGGGTTTAGAGGGAGGCGAGAGAGGGGAAGAAGTCGACGTGCGGGTGGGCCACGGGATTCTGGAAGACAAGTGAGGAGGGTGACCTTCAAGTTGACCGGCATTAGATTGGGAGTCAGCGCAAGGGGATGGGTGAGCGAACTTGACAGCGGCAAATTTTGTATCACACGGGGGAGTTTGGCAGGTGATGAGGGATTTACGAAGGCCATCATGGAGCTTAGATGTGGGCGGGATGTCGCGTGTACATCATGCACCGAGGTGCTCCACTGTTTCATAGGTCGCGTAATGCTCAGCAGCAGCCCATTGCACGTTGGGGTCAGCACACGTATGAAGCATTTCCATGACGGTCGCGATCCGGCTCTGCCGCTGCATAACACGGCACGGGAATGGCCCAGGGCCGACCCAAGCATTTGTTGCTGTTGTTTTAAGTGGAAGTGAATTTGTTACACGGATGATCCTGTGACGCAGCTCGGATTCACGTCCCCGTGCTCCATAAGGCCCCTCCCCCCTCCTTTGGGCTCGTGGGAATGTTGCCCAGGTCACACGGTTTATGGTTCTATTCCTGCAATTTGCCCTCGTCATTTCGTGCCGTTAGAAAAAAGAGCTGCCGTAAAAAAGGGGACGTTAAATTACATCATATGAAAGAATAGGCTGTTGCGTAATAGTAGAGTACTTACTTTAATTGTACCTCTCCTAAGCATATCATAGTTGGAATAAATAAAAAAATATATCTTCACGTAATTGCGATGAATCACTCAAATCCGGTGTCCCTTCAAACTGGGGTATTGAACGTCATTGTCACATCAAACTGGATTGAAGAACACAACAATATAGCTATGGACCGCCTGGTAACATTTATGTTGTTGTAAGACCGTGATGTTTTCTCCGCCGTTCACTTGATGCCCAACGGGACTGTTTGTGTTAGAATGCGAGAGCGCGTGGGATTGCTTTTTCGGAGCCTTTTGCGTGAACAAAACATTCCTGCCTGATTGTACAATTGCCATATATATGTCCATTGCCAAGGAGTAGGCATGCAATGTTGATTGGCTTAATTGATTCGAATTCAATTGAGGATAGCTGTGTCTGCCGGTCATCAACCTGGAGCCGTGGGCCACGTAAAAAACACCACTGCCCACATCATCCATCTGTTGGCAGTTCCGATAAGAAGCTGTCCACGCTCACTCACCAACTTCCGACGGGGACGCAAGCATGTTGCCAATCAACTCCGCACCACATGGAAGCGGAAGATTGCAATTCATTATTTTGCTCATGTTGTGCTTAATTGATTCTCAAACTCCTCGTGATATATCCATGGAATCGTTCACGACAATTCTGATTACAATTGGTGCACACGGAATGCTGTGGCTATGCGAATGTCACGTTGACGTGTCTTCAAGCTCAGCTCAACTTTGCGGAAAATGTTTCTTATTAGCAGCTGGGGCAGCATGAAGCTGAAGTCATAAACTTTTTTTTTTTACCCGGGCATACGTTTTCCATTACATATCACCCCCTGGTTGTAGGAGCTGTGTTAAAAAAAAAAAATTTAAAGGGTAATTTTCCTGGATAATTGGGAAGGCGTTCGAAGGGCTACCGATACAGTAGGGCACATCTACCATGCGACTCATGTCACATTCTTGTAACAAGGCAATGTTTGTGCGCGTGCGATCGCTGTAAACGAAAACTTGCCAGAGTTTCACTTCGCTCGGGGGCGTTTGCACTTGGCTCTGTCGGCGAGGGTAAAGTGACTCTTGATCCTGTGACTCGTGTGACTGAGCTGCCTTCCGAAAAGGCTATAGCCGGTCATCGGAATCCAACGGTTGGCCTTCGCCCAGACCCCTTAAAATAATTGGCACCAACTCTCCGATACGCCGCAATTTTCTGACATACAGTTGGAAACTTGACATGCTAGTTCACCGTTGACGGGGGAGACCAAGATTGTTCATCGCGAAAAAAATGCCCCGTCACAATCCTGCGAGTTCGGACACCGCTAAAAGGATGTTGTTTTGGAAGGAATTTGTGTTTTACATCGCTGTAATTCGGTGCCAATCGGTGTGGGTATTCACAGCTTTTCACGTGTGATAACGTCTCATCGCGAATGTACCCAGGCGCCCCCCTTGTTCCACCATCCGCGGCCGCACGCGGCGAGTTCGTACGAACGTTTCTTCCGGTCACTTAAAGAGCTGTCAGGAACCTTGCATTGTCTTCACTTATTTGTACAGCCAAACTCACTTTGGGCAATCTTCAATGTTTTGCATTTGCAAGTGGAAAGAAGGGGAACTGGGTGGTCCCACGGAGTTCCGTGAATTGCATTCCCATGGCTATATCGCAAATCCACATGTTGTGCTCAGAGAATATGTAAAAGCCCAGCAGCCCCATCTGCTCGCTTGCAAAATGTAAACATTTCCGCAAATAGGCCAATGTGGTGTCTATCGTGGTGTTTGGTGGCCTGGCCAAATTTGGAAAGAAAACGTTTACAGTAAATGCAATTGCCAAACGCCCCACTAGAGGCCGAGACAAAGCATCTTCGAAAAAAGTGGTCGTATGAAGCTTAACAATAATAATGCCTTTTGATCCAATACGTTGGCAGGAAAGCCCCTTCATTGATCGTTTAGCCATTCCCATTCAACACTATTTTGCACGCGGGAGAAAAACCCAGGCACCCAGAGAAAGTCCACCCACGCATGTGATGACATTTTAAATCTCCGCACCGATGGATTCAATCCACTGCCATATTGCCCTCCTCTTGGCAACCTCGCAGTCTGAAGCCTGACAACACCCGGGCATTCCAAGGCAGGCAAACATCCGAGTAATAACCAGGCTCTACACCTGCTCAGCTTCGGAGAGCTGACGAGATCGGGCATAATTAGCGTGCTTTCATCCCAGTGAAACTCCCTTTGAATAAATACACCGGTATAAAATGATCACCCAAAAATGAAGGGAAGTATCTGAAAGAAAATGTTTTTTTTCAATGCTCTTAAATAAGTGACTGTTTCCCCCCCCCCCCCCCCCCCCCCGTCTTCTCAGGCTGTGAGTTGTTTTGTGTTTCTTCTTCTCATTCTTCTCCGATGTATTAAGCGGAAAGGGTTTAAAAAAATCCGCACTTGTTCTGATTGCAGGAATTGGTGCCAGTACACGGTAACGAAGATGGTGACGTGCCAGGTGCAGAACGGCTCAGAGACCTACACTCAGCGCCTCTACCAGAGCTGCCGCTGGCCCCTGCGCTGCTCCAACATCGTCAGGTGCCCTCCAAACTCCTCGTCGCTCTCGTGGGGTCACTCGCTTGCCCTTGTAACAAAGCACGAGGTATAAGCGCACTTGGAAAAACAAACGGTAAAGGTGCAGCCTTGAAATTTCCCGCTAGCGGGAGATCTCCCTCTGACGGGAAATCTAAAGCGGTGGCGCAAGCCAGGATATTTGGCATACTCTTCAACGCCGGCTGGACATCTTGGAAGAGGCAGGAAGTTGATTCGTCATTTGCTTATGTATGACAAGAGTGAAGGGAATGTGTTCGAAAGTGTGAAAAAAATTACATACCCACTTTACGAATTGTCATTCTCGTTATAGCCAATATAATTGTTATTTTAATGTGGTCACCTTCCCAAACTATTGATCACAGGGAGAGAGAGGGCCAGTCGCGCGTCGTGAGCTTATTTTTATTATTGTTGACGATATGGCACACAGGTGAGAAATCCACCGAGGCAACACTTCTCTTTTGCAAGGGTCACCTATGTAAACAAAGCAACAACCACAGAGCAAAGTTTAGACCTGAACACACAGAGCTTGGGGCTTGACGGGAGAAGCTCAGTTGCACATCAGGTAATGGATGGAATCTCATCTTCAAAGCGAGCGCAAAGAAAGAAGCCTCGCCAAACCACGTCGCGATAAGCACAAGGCACAGATATCGCATTCGACAGACATGAGAGTTCCAAAATCTGGGCTTAAAAAAGTTAGGGGGGCCTAGGTAGAGATGTGATTAGAAGCAAATTCACGTCAACTCCTGCCACCAAATTCCGGTAAATTATCCTCACAAACAGTTGATCTCTTTGTGCGGTGTTCGTGTTCAGAAGGTTGTGCCTGTGTCATCACTTGGAGATTTTAGTGGGAGACAGAGACTCTAATTACACAGGCCTCCCGTCGTGCACTGCCTTCAGCTCTCACCAGCTCTCTCTATCGTCACTCTTCGATGCATTTTCGGGTTGTTACCACGTTTTGGAGCTGATTCAGTTCCTGAAGAATCTCCCAATACGTGGTCCGAAACGTCGGACATTATTCCGAACGACACGTGGTGGAACCTAAAAAACTCCTCGGAGGGATAAAGACTCTAGTCTCTTACACTTGAGGGCAAAGTCCTTCATAATCACTGGGAGAGGGCCCTTATTTACATTGGCCGGTAAAGACAAAAACAAGTGATACCTCAAGCTTTAAGTCCCTGGAATTTCAACGAGAGAGAGAGAGAGAGAGCAACACCCACTGGCTTGGACTGCACAGTGTTTAATCGGCACGATTTTGTGGTTGTGCGCATTGCCTCTGCAGTATATGCAAAGTATCAGTGAACATTCAGTGTTTCCCCAGTAAAATGTTAAAGCTGAGCATGCAGTTATGCGTTGGTTGAAGTTTATTTGTACGCTCACGATGCATGCATCGAACGGTGTGCGTGGAAAAAAAAGATATATATCCAGAATTTAAGCAAAATTAAATGTACATTTAGGTTATTGGCACGAACGAGACGATCAGATCGTATGAGGCAATGGATATAAAATGGGCAGAATATATTAGAGAGCAAAGAGTAGTCAGAAGCCAATACAAATGAGAGAGAATACAAAATAACGCCATCCGAGTGGATACGAAGGAGCCACACAGCATAAAGGCAAACTCTCTCCAGAGTGCTCCTGACAACACCATCCCTTTAGGCACTGTCCTGGGATTCGTATGCGCTCTCGAACAGCACTTGCCCAACAGCCTGTACAGGCTATACAGGGGATCTTTGTATTTATCTGTGTGTGTGTCTGTGTGTGTCACACATGGGTGGTGCCAGCCACATCACCAATCGAGTTCTCCTCGCCGTGCCAGCTGTCAAAGGTCACACGAGGGATCCCTGTCCTTGTGCGTGGGTGGGTGCGCGTGTTACAGGACACTGATCCGGCCGATGTATCGCGTCACCTATCGAACCGTGTCCGCCTTCGAGTGGCGGTGCTGCCCCGGCTTCATGGGGCCCAGCTGCGAGGAGGGTGAGTCAGAACGGGGGCCGGGCAGACGAGCGCGGAGATGGCGGTGCCGTGGGTAGCGGAGCAGTGGCGTGGCGCGGGGGCGGGGGGGGGGGTGATGGAGTCAGGTTGGGTTGGGTAATGGGGAAGAGGAAAGCCACGGGGGGGCGGGGGGGCGGGGGCTGCGGTGGTCTAGAGAAAGAAATCGAGGATGATGATGAAAGGGTGTGGGAGGCGATGTGGGCAGCGGTAACTTTAACACAGGGCGGGAGGTGCAAGGGGAGGGCAATGTGAAGATGCACAGGCTGGCATAGCGCACTATCAAATGTCACGCCGCCCGTCGATATGCATCAGTGCATAGCTTGCGATGGCAGCCCCGTTCGCGATTTCCCGCGCTTGAGCTTATTTTCGGAAGGAATTTGAGGTGAATTTTTATGCCGAAATCATGGACTGCGCAGGCGACGTTTGGTTGCGCTCGTGACAGATTCTGTACCGGTGGCAAGTACCACAGCAGCGTTTATTTACGCGCGGGTTTTTTCTTTGTTTGCCGCAAAGTAGTCACCTCCCTTTATATATCTGGCGAGACAAGAATGAGGCGGCTACGGGCGCCGCTGCGTTTCTCCAGCTATGAAACATGCCCTGTTGGCAGGAGATCAAACCACAGTAATGAGGCAGGGGGGGGTGAGAATAGAGGTGAGCTACTGGTGCGGGCAGAGGTAGAGGCTGTGTGGTTTTGGGGCACGAGTGTTTGGGGGGGGGGGGGTGGTGGTCTATGATTGAGAGGCACTGGGAAAATAAAAATAAGCAAACGGGAGGATTTATCCACAACAACTCTGGCTGTTCTGCCCGGTGATGCTGGTTGCGATTACTGGCGAAACGTCGTACTCGAATTGTAAATGTTGTAGTGGGTTTACTCTCCAACATACACTACACTATACACTACACTATACACTACACTACAATTGTAAATGTTGTAGTGGGTTTACTCTCCAACATACACGACACTATACACTACACTATACACTACACTACAATTGTAAATGTTGTAGTGGGTTTACTCTCCAACATACACGACACTATACACTACACTATACACTACACTACAATTGTAAATGTTGTAGTGGGTTTACTCTCCAACATACACGACACTATACACTACACTATACACTACACTACAATTGTAAATGTTGTAGTGGGTTTACTCTCCAACATACACGACACCATACACTACACTATACACTACACTATAATTGTAAATGTTGTAGTGGGTTTACTCTCCAACATACACGACACTATACACTACACTATACACTACACTATAATTGTAAATGTTGTAGTGGGTGTACTCTCCAACACACCACCGGTGTGTGCTGAACCAGTAACGAATGGGCACGTTTTGCTCACGTGACAAACCTTACTAATTGGCTGTGTCGGGTGGTGGTGGGTTTAACGACACAACATTTATATTTACGCGCTCAAACCCCCAAACCCCTCTATTATGAAGAAAACCAGGGTTAAATTGCCATTCTGTGCGAGCACTCCCAGACACGCGCAAGTGCCGGCGGTGATCGGCGATGATGCGCAGACATTGCCACGGCGTGAATGCACAGGGGCACATATAACGGCCTTCTCGGTTTTGTCACATCTGAAGAGTCGCAACTTCATTTCGCGGGAATAGAGACGCCGGTGCGAGATGTGGACAACACTCGAGACGCATATTCCGAGTACACCTGACCACGACGTGTCTGCGTGCGGTTGCCCAAACCTGTGAATTGATCACCATTTCTTAGGAGCGTACGTGTTCATCTACAACAACACAATCACGATATTAGGCAGTACAAATTAGGCGTGACATTATTTAAGTGGCGAAAGTGCAGCCCTAACGATGCATCGATGACACCACTGTTGGTGAGTAACCCCTTCTTCTCTCGTGGGGGTTCTAAGAAAGAAGCACCTCCGGTAAGGGGTTATTTTGGCCGACTCTTCTACGACGCCCAAACTTTTTGGAATAAAAAAGAACCAAAGAATAATTCTAGATTTGAAGTTTTCGTGACTGCAAGGATCCATACTCTTTGGGTTCCTTCGGTAAAGTCGCGTAGGCGAAAAAATAAATAATAAACACATAATAAAAAATAGAAATAAATAAATCGCGACGTTTCGATTGCAACACAAGCAATCATCATCAGGTGTGATAACCACAGCAGGGATTTTTTTTACTGAAGTGTGCTTATCACACCTGATGATGATTGCTTGTGTTGCAATCGAAACGTCGTGATTTATTAATATTTCTAGCTTTATTTATTATTTATTTCTTCACCTACGTGACTTTACCGAAAGAACCAAAGAGTATGTAACGAAATAATAATTTTGGCGTAACTGCAAGGACCCACGCTTGACCCCCACCGCACGCCACTAATATTAGTCGACTAATATTTAGAATGCTGCGTCGGCAGAGGCGAGGGCATTTAAATAAAACTTGCCCGTTGTTTCAACCGCCACAACGTGATATGGAACTGGTGAGCACTGGAATGTAAGCCCAGTGCACTGACCATTACGCGGCAAGCGGTAGCAGCAGCATCCTCCTCTTCTATAATAAAGCTTTTTGTTGGGGTTAGATCGCGCAAATATACAAATGTGTCGTGAGCCCGCCACCACCCGACACAGCCAATTAGCAAAGGTTTGTCACGTGAAACAAAACGTGCCAATCAGTTACTCCTTCAGTACACCGGTGTGTTGGAGAGTAAACCCACAACATCGAGTGGCGGCAGGTTGACGACACGTTTATATTTACGCGATCTAACCCAAACCCCCTCCCCCTCCCCCCCCCCCTTATTATGGACAATATTGGTCGCAAAAGTTTACATCTTAAACTCACGTACCGCCCTTTTCTCTACGAGGAGGGACAAATTAATGCGGGCGAGCACGAGCATCCGAGCGTCTGAGGGCCGCCTCTGAAATTCTGAAGAGCCTCGCCGATCAATGGAAGCTCAGCCCAGCTCAGCTCGGCGGAACGTGGTCCCGCTGGCGGGGCACATCGGCCGTCCGTTTATTTAAAAAGTAATTAAAAAAAAAACTTTTTTAAAAAAAACACGCTTTCATTAAATGCACCGTACTCGTAATGGCAGAACTCCACGACTCCAGGTTAGTGGCCCCGAAGCTTTCCATAAGGTAAGTGGGCCGATGCCATTCACAGCCAACGTCATTTGAGCGTGGACAATTAGACCCAAGCCGAAACATAACATATAAAAAAGGAATGTTTAAAAAATATATAATTTTGATTTTTAATGATAGAATATAGTATTGTCATCAGTATGACATAAGTATACCAAGTTTACAGTCGATACCACATTGGGAAGTGGGTTAAAATTGAGTTACAAGATTTGAGGATACAACAACAACAACAGACAGTGAGTTAATAAAAAGCGTGTAATAAAAAAACACCGCCTATTTCAGTTTGCACCTCCTCCTCCCCCCACCCACCCGCCCGCCTGCCCGCTTCCAAGATCACTCTAGCAAAGTAAATGTTATCCTATCTATCAGCGTTCGTTTCGGGGCAAGTGGAGCGGCGAGGCTCGCTTTGTGAGCGCCTCTCCCTCTCTCTCGTCTGGTCTCCCAGGAGGAGTCTTCTCCAACCCACACAAGGCGGGGCGCGTCTCACGTTGTGTCGACACGAAACGCCAAACTTGTCAGCGCGGGCTTGGGGGGGGGCGCTTAAGGGGGATGCGTGGCGCTGCATGGCTCAGCGCTGTCGCGTCGCCACGGATACCGTGCGAGAAATAACAGCGGTCCGGGGGGTTGTGTTGTTTTTTTGTTGTTGTTGTTGTTGTTGCTGCTGCTCCTGCTAGTACGCAGCAGAAGAAGCAGCGAGTGCCTCGGAGTTTTATTGATCGGCGGGTGCTAAGAGCTGCGCGAACAAACCGGGTTGTTACTGGCCTCGCAGGTTGATAATGTTATCTCCCACCCCACCGGACCTGTCCAAGCGCATCCGTACTACTCTTTGGTTTTATTCGGTAAAGTCACGTAGGTAAAACGAATTAAAATAACGTAAACAATTAAAACACGACGTTTCGGAGGCAACGCAAGCTTCCGTCTTCAGGTGGGACCAGTCACAGCCAAAATCGCTGCACCAAGTGGCTGTGACTGGTCCCACCTGAAGACGGAAGCTTGCGTTGCCTCCGAAACGTCGTGTTTTAATTGTTTATTTTATTTTAATTCGTTTTACCCACGTGACTTTACCGAACAAAACCAAAGAGTATGAATTCTTGCAGTCACGAAAGCTTCAAATCTAGAATACGCATCCTTACTGTTTATTGTAATGCTGGTGTTCAGTGCGAGTGGTTGGCAGTGTTATTACCGAGCAACACGGTATTATGAGTAGTGGAACAAGCATAAATCAATCGATCGGCATCCCTCTCCATGTGTTCACACATAATTAACGAGTACGTCTTCATCTGTCGGCCCACGACGAATGAAAGAGACCAGTGAAAAATGTAGACTCGTGAAAATGTTACCGGAATGGAGGGTTGGTATATTCTCGTTGAGTAACTGAGGAGGTGGGACCATTTAACAAAAAAAAATTAGATGTGAGGATTCAAGGTGTCCTCGAAAAATTGCGAGGAATGATGCCGAATAAGTGAAATTCATGCGTGCATAAAGGTCCTTCCAACTCTAAAAAACGTCAACCGTGTCCAAAGTAGACCTTTCGTAATATTCGTAAACGCTAAACATATTGAGACTGTCTCCATAAAGGGCAGAGGTGGGTTTTTAAACATTCTACTATCAGTGTTGACTATCAGTGTTGACTATCAGTGTTTCGATTGAATCGGAAGTAGTTCTGTGCACCTCTTTCACCAAATGAACAGAGCAGCGTGGTGAAGTATGGGCAAACAACTCCTGTGACCGAAATGCGTGGAGAGGGTCTTCATCCAGCAGCGAATTGACAAAAGGGCTGTGAAATATACTCATTGTTAATGAAGATGGGCTATTAATATTTGCAGCAACAACAACAACATAAAGCTTCTTTA